CCGTCATGAAGCGGGTGAACAGCGCCCCGGGGCCGGCGGAGAGGGTTGGAACAGCCCCAGCCAAGGCCACGCGGAGGGGATCTGGGCAGGGATGTGCACACCGTGAGCCGCCGGGCTCCCAGCAGCGGCCACGGAAAGCGCGGAGCAGCAGCAGCAGCGCCCCGAATCGCTGCCGGGCCGAGCTGCAGCGCTCCCGCAGCAGCCGGAGCTCACCCGGCTCCAGGGCTCCAGCCGCCACCGGGCGTGCTCAGCACCCCACCCGGCCCGGGAAAGGTGGGCTCAACAAATGCACCTGTCCACCTCCGAGAGAAGCACCAGATTTAACTGATGCTTAACAAAAAAAAAAAAAATCAAAGGTTGATGGGGAAGCCCGAGAGTGTAAGGAGAATTCTTGAAACTTGACAGAATTTGCAACAGATTTCATGACAATCTCTGATTATCCCCACTTGAGCATGTTCCAGGGGGGTTGGTGGCAGCTAAATGACCTGAACTCCCACCTCTGCTCTTACTAGCCTCCAAAGGTGGGCAAGACATTCAACTGCTGTTCCTGGATTCCTCCTCCACACCAAGGCCCAATTCTCCAGACAGCACTAAGACAAAGGGTTTTGGGTTAGTATGGATCAGTGAGGAACTGAGGCAGGAGTTAATTAGGAATGTAGGAAAAGGGCAGAGAGAATGGGGAGACCCACGACTGACACAGGCTGGAGACCAAGGCAGAGTCGTGCTCCAAGTTATTTGCTGCTCTGGTGTGATTAATTGCTCCAAATAGTCCTAACAGCATGCACTGCAGCAAACAGGGAGGAAAAGTGACAAAATAAAATGTGTTCATGTAATTAAAGACTATTACAATTAATGTGCACAAAAAAATATAAATGGGCTCCACAGATAGTCTTCAAAATAGTATGGACTTGCTTCTCAAGGCTTTCCCTTGCAGCTTAATGCTCTCTTCTATTTTTTCACTATTTTAATAAAATTAATAAAGTTCATGTGTCTAGAAAAGCCCTATCAGACTTTGGCACTGCACAAGAGCCCTTGTCTGGAGATTTTACAGTTCCCAAGCTTTATTTTAAGAGAACACAGTTGAAAGTTTATGCCTCAAACACAGCTTCCCACTTCACCCTCCTCTTTACTAGACAGGAGATAAAGCTTTTCCTTACCAGAAATACCAACTTCAACATTAATACAGAGGGTTTTTTTCAAGATTTTAGGTGCCTGAAATATCACAAGTTATCTGCCAAATCATTTCTGCAGTTTACATTTCTTTCAGCACAATGCAAAGCAATTTAAAACGTGATGAAACTATTTAAAGCAAGCAATGATGAACTTTGGGCTTTACCCAAACAATAATGGTCCTGGTCTTTTCAAATGCTCACTCATTGAGTGACCTCACAGTGCTTAAGGGACAAGTCTTAAAATGAAGAGTTGGGCTTTAATCACAGCTGACATTTTATTGGTGGCTTGGAAGAATTTATTTTTAATATAGGGAGCGGGCTTGAAGATTTAAACTTCAAAAGACTCTGAAAAAAGCAAACAATTATATACAAATCATCTCCACACACACATACCAGAAATCCGAATACAGAGGAAGGTGGGCTCTTTGTGAAAGACAAATCAACTATGTCACTGCTTAGAAGTGTCATATTATCACCATCATATTATCTAAAGCTTGCAAAAGAGAGAAAAAAACCCCCAAAATAATACAGCCTGGGGCTCATCACCTGGTACATGAAGCATAGGCATCCCATGCCCTCAACATGTGTGTCCACACATGGTAGGCCTTCCCTACTTCCCACTGATTCCACATTGCATCTGCAGGGATGCATTTTAAAGGTAAGAGTGGTTCCAGCAGGCAGGGCTGCTCTGTGGCCACACTGGGACACATCCCCTCCAGAAGAAGTAGTTCCTATTAATCCCAGTGTTTGCCCAATGTTGCACCAGTTATAACGTGTATTAATATTCAACAGTTCTTCAGGATGTGTTCTCTGGGAAGGGAAACTGGATATTTCCATGTCTGCTCATCTGCAGCAGTTTTCCTTCTTACTGCTCTTTGGCAAGCCTGCAAAGAGGCAATTTTCCTTGGAATTCCACAGCCAGTGCCAAGTATTCCCACATCCAGGCACAAAACAGGGCACAGCCAGTATAATTTCTAACTCAGTAATTTATTCAAAGCTCTGTTTTATGAAGCTTTGAAGTGGATGGCTTTGCAGAGAACCTACCATTTAAAGCTGCAGAATTAAGTCAGCAAGGAATGAATCAACTGCTACAGTAATCATGAGAAAGTTTTCCTGGAGAGTCTAACCTGGGATGAGCTTTGTGTTCATATTAAAATGCAGTTAAACTGAGAAGCTAGTGTAGTTATTTTTTCAAGAACAAATTATTTCCTTTCAAAGGCAATCCTCTTTAAAACACTACATTTAGTTTCCATTAACTCTTTTAAGGTAAGTTAAAAGTCAAATTATAAAATTAATCCATGAAAAAAATAAAATGCTTGCATTGTAATATTTCACGTGTCTGTCTCCTGTTTAAAACTCAAAATTGGTAAACACCAAAATTACAATATTTATAGATTTTGGTAAGGGCTCTTACACAAAGTATGTGTGGCATTTATTTACATTTTTTTGCCACAGTGTTTTCATTTATAGCAGGGGTTCAGACTTGCGAAATCCTCCATATTCCAACACATCCAATTTAACAAACACTCCAGCAGACCTTTAGTTCCAAGTAGGATTATAACCACACTGTTCAAAACCTTGCCACATTTGGCTGCTGGCATCTAATGGTTCAGTACAAGGCAGTTGTGATTTACCAGTTGATATTCAAGTGTTGGAATCCCAGAATTAGTTCTCAGAAGCAGTTTAGTCAAGATGGATGACAGGGTATGAGTGCTACTCACAGCCTGACCACAGCTATTCTCACACAGCTGCTGCAGTTAGGTTCAGGTAAGGAGGAGCTTCTCCTTGACTCCATTTTTGTACTCTGCTGTGTACATTATTTATAGGTACAAAGCTGGTCTCTTTAAAGTCTTCTCTCTCTAGAGGCAGCTGGATAGTAAGCATTAGGTTAGAGGTCTTAAAAAGCAGCAAAACCCAAAAAATTAAAAAAGGATTTAACCCTTAGCTGAATTGTAGAAATGAATATCATGGACACTCATCTTTCCCATCCCTAGCAATTTAAGCATTTCCACATGATGAATTATGATTTTTTTTTTTTTCTAAAAGCTTAGTTTCCAAACGTCATAAGCACACGATGTTAATCCTTCATTCACTCTCCAGAAAATTAAGGCAGTCCAGCACCAAAAATAACCATAGGGCATAGTTTTGTGAGGCAGCAAAACTGACGTAATGGCTGCTCCCAAAAGGGAAGGTCATCTCTCTCTGCCCTGCCCTCACAGCAACACTGCTGCTTCTCAGAGCCCATTTGAGAAATTAAACTAAAAAAACAATTCTTCAGATGGAAAAGTGCACATTTTTATTCTGGTTAAGCTTCCTAAACCGTTTCACAGAGAAGCCAGACAAATAACACCCTGAAGAATGGGCTGTCACTAGAGCAGCTCAGGAGTTGCCTTTCACAGCCAGCCTGGCTGCAGGGATGACCTTCTGGGAAATGGGCAGTAGGGACACAGCTGGAGTTACAGCCACTTAAGCCATCTAATTTTATTTTGCTCATATTTGTGAGTCAATCCCCTCAAGTGGCCAAAGAAGGATGGCGTGACCATCCTTCAAAGTGGGACTTCTGGTGGGTATATCCATTGTTTAACAGGACTCAATGTAAGGATCATGCCTGTTGTAAAAATATTGAAGTGTTCACACAGGCAGGAGTAACATCTGCTGCCCATATCTGCATGCAAAATTGTTTAGTACTAGAGTGCAATTGTATAAACTGGAGGCAGCTTCTTGGACACATACAAGAAGCAGCATGGGAGGCAGCCTAGCAGGCTGGCCTCAGCCACATCTCTTATCATTATTTCTCTGGGATTTCAAAGAATTCTGGCTTTCAGACAATTCTGGATCTCCTCCTGCTTCCTAGGATCATCACAGGGACCACAGAGAAATCCACACAAACACCTACAAAGGTGTTCTTGCACAAACTCCTCTGCTAGAACCTGAGGCACAGCAAGTCCAGCCTAACTTACACAGGGAATTGTACCGGTCACTGCTTGCAGTAGACTTTGACCTCTGGAAGACAAATGAAAAAAAACTCAATCCACAAATCCCAAGCACTTTTTATCTTGTTATACAACATAACAGTCACAAGGCTGCTAGTCACATTTCACCAAGCAGTTATTTTGAAACGGGAATTTTATTTTTTTAATTATTAGTTTTTAAATGTGTGTTGGGTATGTCTGCATTTGGCACTTGGGAACTTCACTGCTTGTGTTTGCACTCAGGGTCTCCAACCTAACAATGCCCAGCACTGACAGAACACCAGATCTGGAGGGATTATTGTTTGAGTTATTACTGTGACTGCTGCTTCATTATGAGACACAGGGCAATGATGGTTGACTACAAGATTAGGGATTGGGAAGAGCCCTTGTCTGAAGGAAATTTAAAAAGACTGGGACCATTCACCTCAGAGGGAATGAATCAGAGAGAACACAGTGAAGGTATTGCAGAATACATAGCTTAGAGATAGCAGTTGGAGAACTTTTGTTCACCTTATCTCAAAACATAGGAATGCAGGAACATGAAGGGAAAAAAAAGGTAAATGAAAAGATAAGCAACTACCTTTTAATGTCTTGCATAAAATATATATCATGATTTGCTGGTAAGCTACATTCTGGAGAGCAAAGTATTATTAGTTTTCTCAATGAATGGGCATAATTCAGATAAAAGTAAATATTTAACATCTGAAATAGATATTTTGTTAGGATTACTATTCTTTGGAGCACAAGTGAGCTTCTACCTCTTGGGATTTAAGAGGCTATTTCTGCCAGATATCCAAGGCCTGGGAAGCTCAAATAGAAGCAGGGTGAAGAACTTACTTTTAAAAACCCATCTCCTCTGAAGAACTGCTGGACTGAATACAAAGGAGACAGTTGATGGCTCCAGTTGGGGAGGAAAACTGACTGGCAAGGCAAGTAATGGGCACTGTGCAGCAGATGCCTATTAACATCCAGATTTCAGAGGAGTTCATGCATCCTCATCTTACTGGATCTGTGCTCTATTTTATACAACTCAGGTATTTTTGTTACTAAGTGAGGACGCTGCAGGAGTCAAAGGCTAACGCTTGCCTGTGTTTAGCCCTACTTCCTTATCTTGGAATTTAGTCCACAGTGCCACTCTTGTTCTCCCACACAGTTTCTGTACTTCACTGCTTACCTAGTCATGAGGACTGAATTCCAGGACAAAGGCTGTTGTTCACACCAAAGGGTTTGTGGAACAGCTATTCTGGCATAGCTCCCCAGGTGGAGATACAGTTCATGTAGGCAAAAGAACTCACTAAATCATCTCCTTAAAAGGCAAGCTACACCATCAGAATAAATCATCTCCACATCTATTTTTTTTTTTTTTTTGCATGCCATTATTGCTGCAGGGTTAAGTCTGGGATTTTTACATTCCAACCTGCATAACTGTCCTGGCAAAACTAGTAGTTCCTTGACCAGGAAAGGCCAGATGCACCAGGAAACAAAATAAAACAACAACAACCACCAAACAAACAAAACATACCAACGAAAAAGATCTTGCCTTATTTTCTTAACTGCATTTTTTTGTAGATATTGAAAAGAAGAATGAAGGAATGAGCAACAAGCACTGGCTCTGTTAACAATGGGAAGGGGAACTGTGTCCAAAAGTCACCTCTGGGGTGGATAAAAGCAGTGGAACAGCAGTACACAGCAACCTTTACAAAAGAGTTTATTTATTACATGTATGAAACAAAAACAGATGTCCTGATGAAGCTATACTGGAACACAAGTAAAATCTAAAGACATATAACTGAACCAGAATTCTAGACATAAGACCCCCACTCTAAAGTAGCCTACTAATTCATTCATCAAGTCAATTAATAATATTCACTCTTCATTTTCATCTTTTCACTGCAATAGACCTCATGTCAGCCTCAGGAAAGGATGAGTCAATCCTTGACTAAATGCCTCTGATTCACTAAGGAACCAACACATATAAAATCACTTGAGATTAAAAAATGCTAAGTTTTGCCTCACTGATAATTTATCTAATGGCTGCTAAGATTGGGTTAATGGGAGAAAGATGAGAGAGAACAGCACTACATCGCTATGGAAACTAGAATTTTCAAAATAAACACCTTTGCAGAACTGAGGTTGCAGATCTAAAATATCTTGGTTTTGATGTCATCTCCCTTTACCATGATATCCAGCCAGGCTGACCAGTCAGGCATAGGGAAAAACCTTGCATGTGGTAACAGAAGATATCCCATGGCTGATGTTCCTTATTCCAGCGTAGGTATGGGCTCTGAATGGAAATGTCAGTGATTGAATATATATATATCAAGTGAACAATGACAACACAATGTTTACAGCTTTGTGAAGTTCAATTCCCTTACTCACACTAGGAAACTCCTTACCCTGGAAATGGCTCCACTGCAGCTACTGTTTAGGATCTCCAGTCCTCTGCTTCCTGTTAGTCACAAATGGAAAATACAGTTGGTAACTTCTCCACTTGTGCCTGGGCAAAGGGTTTCTCATTTTAGACACAAACATATGTCCACACCCCACCTACCTTATATCATCTCACTGATTGCTGCTGTAAACAAGTCAAGGCTCTAGAAATGCTGACTCAGAGTACTAAACTGTGGAAAATATTTAGAGTTGCTAAAGAAGCAAAGCCCAGCAGGTTTCCTGCCCTTCCTCCTTATCTGCAAGCCCCTTGCCATGACAGGCTGTAATGAAGGACCTTGCTTCCTGAGAGCAGGCAAAGGTACTTGCTTCCTAAAGATAGCCCAAATTCCTTTGAATTCCCAGTTGTTAGCTAGTAATTGCAGGCAGGGGAAGACAACCCCCAGTGCTTACAACCGCAGGGCTACAGATGTTGAGAGATTAATGGCTCCTGGGTAGGCTTTCTTGCCCAATGCAGCATTGCTCACTTCAGTGCACTTCCTGGGATGGAGTCAAGTTCCTTTAAAATGCCTCAGTATCTGCTATAGAAGGCTGTTCTTTACCTATGGACTTTACCGGATTTATTACTGATTCCTGCCTTCAGCACAGCTGAGTCAGTGCAGACAGGCAAATCACTGTTTGCTTTGGGAGGGTTGGTACTGATCAGGACATGGGCAAGCAGCACCGGGTGCAAATGCTGTTTCGCTGTGGGCGTGCCAGCGCAGGCAGAGAGAGGGACAGGGACCGGTGCTCACACTGAGCCGGGGAGACACACGGACAGAGGTGGGGAGAGTGGGGAGATTGGGGTTACCTCGACAGGAGCCAGTCAGGGAGCATTCTGTCTGTGTTAGCACACTGTTGTGCCCAAATTAATCGGCTCTGGATCTTAGCCAAATGACAAGCTGAGTGCCTACCACATCAACAGCCTGATTTCCCCACTGGGAAATGACCTGTTGCAAAAGGCAGAGCATTTAAGGAAACAACAAAGTTTTATACCCACACGATTCATGTGGCAAATAACTTCAGAAAGCCTAAGGGAGCACGGAGCCTTTATGACCAGTTGGGGATGGGCAGGTTGCAGTGCTCCTTTCTCCTCCCATTACCTAGGCAGCTCATTTGCAAAGAAGCAGAGACTCATGAACTGCATTTACAACTGGGCAGGGCAGACCAAGGCACAGCTCTCACTGAAGGGGAGGAGCAGGCTGTGGTAAGAAATTGCAGTGCTCAGAAATGACTGTACTAAATGGTTATGGTGATGGTATTGAGCTGATTTTACCTATAAACTGTTCTAACTGCAGTCTGCAATTAACGTGGCCTGTAGCATCTAAATGCACATGAAGCACGCAAGTAGGGATGCAGAGCTCCCTTTTCTATTGGCAGCTGACTTCCAGCTGCACATCAAATTAAATTCTTAGCAAGCTGATCATGCGCATAATTCTCTCTATACTTGTCAATATGGAGATGCATTTGGCTGAAGTTTCCCTCTTGTGAGGCAATAGGAGCCATTTTAAAGAGGTGGGGACATGGCCTGGTCCTATAAGACTCACACTAGTTTAAGAGTACAGTAACTACAGTGCTTTTGCCCTATTTATAGTGCTTACTCAAAGCAAACCTGAGGTCTTATCAGTCCTTCTGATAGTGACAGGTGACAGTGAAGGTGGCCAAGTGTGAAGATAGCCCTGTATGAAGAATAGATTGGATCATAAATGCAGAACAGCTGCTTAAGCAGAACACCAGGAAAAGGAGCAACAATGTTGCTGGGCAGAGAAAAGCATTGCAAGAGCACACACACAGCCTCCTTCCTCCAAAGGCACATGCGCACTGCTATCGCTCAGTCACATTTCTCTCAAGCTTCCTGGTAGCAGCATCAGCAAGTGCATTCTGTCACATCTGACTGGCTACAGGACTCTGTCCTCATCTGACAGTAACGACCTGGCCTTGATTTTTCACATTTTTGTCATCTCCTTCCTGTCTTTCAGCGCTATGAAAGCATGATACCTGCAGCACAAAGGAAATTCTCACTAGCACAGCCTGCTGCAGTACACTTACCTCAGCAGCACAGGAGCTGCAGGCATGGCAAACCTCACATAACCTACATTAGATTCCCATAACGTTCCAAATCAGGCACTTCCAGACTTGGCTGAGACTCATCTCCATGGCCAGACTTAGTATACACAACAGAGACTAAAACTCTGAGGATCATGGTGTGCAGCTTTGCTCCTTTGGTAAAATGTAATGCTCTACAAAAACATAGTTCAACCCCATAAAAACAGCCTATTTTTGGCCCAATAACAAATACTGAAATCCCCCTAAAACTAAAGGGGGCCGTCCAGATTTCTCGACATGCAAATTGCACTGTAAAAGATCAGCTCTCTGGTTGAGTGGCCACAGCAAAACACACTTGACATTGCCATGGCCTAGCTGCTGGCCAGAGGTGATGTCATGGGCTGTGTTCACTGTCTGGAAATGAGGAGCAAGAAATGCTGCACTGGCTGGCCAGCCCATCCAGTGACACATCCTGACATGGGCCACAAGGAGACAGGAACAGACTGTTAACTCTCAAACATCATGGTAACAAAACCCCAAAGAGAGAAGTTGTCTGGGTATAAGCACACTAACTTGGCCAGCAGCAGCAGGTCCGCCCACGCCTTTTACACTTTAGCCTGTCTCTCCCTAGTCCTTTCCCATCCCTTATCACCTCTTTTCCTCAAGGCTGTTCAGCTAAACTGCTGCTATCCCCGCTTTGTTTACCCAATTCTACTTGCACTGAACAGGAAGCAAGAGTGCTCTCCCCCTGATGTCACCACCACCTTTGAGAAAAAAGTTGACCTGCAAGCTATTTTAAGCCATTGTAAAGTTGTGGAGCTATTTTGGTCACATCTCTGTACGAAAGCTGCAGGATGCTGACAGGCTCAATGATTGCCTAGGGCAACAGGGGCTTAAACTGGGAACTGGCACAGCTTACAACTTTGCATTAAAGCTTCTGTGCCCTTCCCATGCCATAGGACTCTTTAGAACAAGATTTGATTTCCTGACCTTTTAGAAAAGAGTAACACACCTTCCTGAATTCTGCTGGATACCAGAGGTTCTGTAAGGCCTTTGCAGTGATGGCCTCCAGCTTGCACCATCTCCAGTTCTGCAGAAGGCACTATTTATTCTGTGGGCTCCCTTACTCCCATTTGCCTCATTCCTTAGGAGGAGGCAGGTGCAATTGAGTTCACAAAAACACCAGACAAGATTTTATCAATCTTCCTTTGAATCAGACCTCTGTAAAAGATCAATAAGCATTAGGCTAGTGCCTGCTGAGAAGTCAGGTGCATGTAACTCTGTGGAGGTAAGAGGAAGAACAGAAAGGAATCGTTTGCATAACAACATATTGCTCTGAATACAGAGTAATGCCTGGGAGCTCTGGGGTAGTCCAGGGCATTGGGCAGAAGGTGCCTGGTCTAGACAGTTGTTTTCTCTGGAGTGCCCTAGGGTTGGCTGCCAAGTTTGCTGGGGCTCTGTAGCAGGTGCAAAGCACAGGCAAAGTAAAAGTCAAAGGAACTGGATTTTATAGAATTAAGCCCAGCGATACAAAAGGAATATTGAAGGATATAAGATATGAGGTAAATGAGAGGGGGGAAAAAATACCCCAAACTGAAACTGGTGTGTTTAAGACAGGGACAGATAAGTCAGATCTACAAAGAAGGAAAAAGAGAGAAACTGTATCAAAGTTTTTGAACAGCTGTCATCCAACCCTCCCTAGAAAACTTGCCTTAGGATTACTGCTGTCTGCAGCTACAGTGCATGTTTTCCCAAGACACCTCAGTGATGTTAACAATTCCACACCTTCCCCATTTGGAACAAGCCCCTGATGCAGCAAAAAGAATCAGAATTCCATCAAGTCAGACTTCCAAGTCTCTCTCATGTATTTTTTCCTCCAACTTTCTTCTAAACGTGGTTTGTTAACAGTTCTTACACTAATACCTACATAATGCTTCTAAGGTGAGCCACTCCTTTTTTCGCTGATGCAACTTGCACTTGCTTTCATGAATCAGCACAAGCCACATATCTCCTCCACAGCCGGATCAGTGCCTGCTAACAGGATGAACTGTCCCAGGCAAACACTGGTGACCTGTTGCAAACAGATTTGATATGCAGAACATCACTGTATTGCACTGGGCATTTCAGCAGAAGGAGCTGGTTTAACTCATTTGGTCCCAGATAAGCATTAATCTGTGTTACACACTTTGCAATCTTTGTGCCAGGAAAATTAGCTGACCCTTAACTAATATCTTATGACATGTAAATTAAAATTAGCTTAATAAGAAATTAGATTTTTAGTCAATAGGTTGAAATGGCATGGACAGAATGGTATTGTTTAATATGCTGTTATTTTAGCAGGACAGAATGGAACTGTCGCAGTTCAGATCAGACACAGAGATGTGTCCAGCAGCAATATGTCAAGACCTGTTGGATCAAAAAGCTCAATGAAGTGCTTTGTGTTTCAACTTCCCCCAGACCCATGCACAAGACTAGCAGCAAACCTTACACAGTGAAAACATTTTTGTCAGATGAAATAACATAGTAACATGTTGCATTATTTCCTTGCCGAGCTTAAGCAGCCTTTGTTTGGGACACTGCACAAATAGGACAACAAACACAGCACGATGATCTGTCAATTCCTGCATGGTGGACCCATGCTCCTGGTAGCAGAACTTTGCCAGTGTAGGGAGTAACTACTTCACCTTTCATCATTTCTCTAGATTTTTAGTTTTCATCCATTATCACACAATCTTATTGTAAGAGCACTATTGTCATCATCACTTGTCTCAACAGATTATTTAATGGAGAGATCCTATCACCATCTCCACAATGCAGATATTTTTCTAATAAATATAATGAAACTGATTTTTTTTTTTTTAATATTCCTACACCTGTTCTATTTTCCGGTGTGGAAACACCAGGCATACAGTAACAAATCACAAGCAGCTCACCCCATAGACGTAGACAGGGGTTATCCACCAATTGTGTGGATCCCGGCAAGCACACACACCGCGCTGGAGCTGACGACTGCAGTTGTTCCAAATCTCCTCTAGGGAGAGCAGTCGGAAAGGAAGAGATGGAACTGCAGTGCACATGCCAGCTGGGAATCGGTGACTCAGGATATTCAGTCACAAATGTTGTCTGTCCATTTCCAGCTGAAGGCAGGGAGCAGCAATGAGGTTTGAGCTTGATTCAGGAGCAGAATTTTACTAGAACCTCAGGTATGCTTTACTATGTGAAAGAAAGATACTAAAAATCAAGACATAAATCAAGCAATAGGACTTCAAATATTAGATCAATCATTTAAGCAACCATCCCCACAGATGAATGCAACATGAATGGCACTTCTATGGGGCTTCCATCTCTTACATCCTAGTGCATCACAATGTGGATCCATCAGATCATCCAGAAAAGGTAGGCCTAGTCTCAAAACATCATCCAGGCCCTGGTCTCTGCACAAAGAACATTAGAGACATTATTTTTTAGAACTAGATGTATTTTGTGTGCACATGCACAGTGCTTAATACTAGAAAATGGGCAGATTCATCAACTTATTTCACCATGGATTCACAAAAAAGTGTCTTATCTCTGTCTGTAAGGAATCATGGATAAAAACGCCTAAGGTTGCCTATTTTTTCCTTACAAAGGAAATGCATGCCTTAATTCTGTGACCTGCTACACCTTCCTTAAAGAAGGACCAGAATGTAAAATATATCTACTCAGAACAGGATTTTTGCCCTCTTCCCCCACCCTAAAATAATAATGATCCATGTTCCCAGACTCAAGATAAAACAGTATTAAGAAATGCAGAAGTCATACTACCATCTACCTAAGGCAAAGGGTAGGAGAAGAAACTCACCAGGTCAAAGTCTGGATAAGAAAAGCAGATCTGCAGGAGGGATGTACCTACATTCAGACAGGTGCCAGAGTTCATCCCAAGCACAGCAGAGGATGCAGTGACTTCTACAAAGTTACTGACACTCTGACAAAGCAGGTCTGTGGAACCAGTGAGGAGCTGTAGCTTTGAGAAACCAAGAGACCATAACTCTTGCTACTTATGGACAAAGCTTCCAGGATGACACAGAAAACTTTGCCACATACAAAAATTACCTAGAGCAAAACAGGAGCAGACATTCACAGGTTCTAAGAACAGCAACCAGACCAACAGCCAGGGATTTCACTTTCAGTTCAAGTAGCAGCAGATATCTGTGTACCAGAAGCCCCATTAATGACGTAGGAAAAAAAATAAAGAACAAAATTCTGTAGAAGCTGTGATAAATAAAAAGGAACCATCAGCTCTTTCTTGTCTTTGGAAATAACAGAGCATCTCTTCCCTGATATGTCCCATTGACTCTTGAATTTTCCTACCAGCACTGACTTCTGTTGCTGTCTTGAATAGTACAGGTGTTTTTTTAAATAAAAGCAGGGACAGGCAGGCTTAGCACCAAGAGATCCTCAGAAAACTGAAAGAATATTCCTGGTCAGGGCATAATTGATTTCCAGGGAGATGTTTATGATGTATGCATTATCACAATCTCAGAACTTCATTCCCACCTATTTAGGATTCCCACACTGGATTACAACTTGCCTTCACATAGGAGACGTTGAAGCTTTCAATGAGGTCACGCCAGACTCTGACAAGCACTGATGGGTGAGTCATGCTGCAGTAGCCAGAGATACTAGCAACACATTTATTAATCTGTATGCAGTCTAACTCATTTTCTGGTCTAGAATCTTATTCAAGGGTGAAATACAGTGTCTCAGAGATAGGTGACTGCAGAATTGCTGAAGAGCAAAGCCACAGTTTCACAACTGTTTTACAGATTATAAGAATCAGTGCCTGGAAGCACATTTACAACAATGTAAAATGTTGTTTCACCTATAAAGTCTATAAAACAGGATATCAAGAACCCGATAGGGTCAACAGCAGAGCTGTGCATTGCAGATCACTGGAAAAGCCACCATGCTAAACAGAATATAGGAGTTCTCAGGAGAGTTCCACCAACACTTGTCCAGCAGTTCCCATCATCCTCTCCAGCAAACTGCTCTTCCAGAGGCTACCTCCCTGTACCACAGTCAGCTGGTGTAAATACACATCCCTACAACAGCCAGTCTAGGACAAAGGCCAGGTTAGTCACAGCACTGTCAGGGCTGGGTCTGAGCTGAGATAGCCAGCGCTAACCCAGCAGGGTCAGCCACAGAACAAACTTTCTTCTGCTGACTCAGCTGTGAGGGAAAACCTGTGGAGAAGGATTAGGCCAGACAACAGTGACTTCTTGAACTGCCACGGGAAAATTCTCCATGGAAGCTTTGGAAATGTGGCAAAAACGACACAGAAAGCTACGGAACAAGTGAGACATGGGGAATAAGTGCATGACAGCAGAAAAATACTTTCGTCATCTTGGCTAAACTACTGGACAGCCAGGAAAAAGAACCAATAATGAAGGGAAGAGACAAAGTAAATCTAAAAGAAATCCTGCAGACAAAGAACAAAGAAATTAAATGCTGTTGTATTTTCATTGCTGCGAAGCTAAATTAAGCTTCCTAAGTCAAGCAGACGAATAATTGGTTTAGATTTCTATTCAGAAGACAGCATGGGCAGCAAGTGCCAGTGGAACAACTAACAAAAGGTGTCTTCCCTCAGAGAAAGCAAGCCAGCAGATTGCATAACTGAAATGAGTTTCCTCCCAGTTTCACATTATTAGTCACCTTTCTCCCTTCTCTGCCAAAGGCTTCTTCCTACCCATCCATCCAAGGACCAAAGCCAAGGCCTTTCCTGAGCTGCTTCTTTCCATCAGTCACTTCAAGATCAAGGACTCCATAATACTGATCCTTATACCCTCTGCAGGTATTCTGAACCAATGCCAGAGTAAAACCCCCTCTAGGCCTGCTGTTGGGAAAAAATCTGAGATACCTGAACAGACTCTCCTTGTACCCAGTTGTCATGGCCTAACAAAACAGTTAGTTCTGAATTTCTGAAAATATTTCAAAGCACATTTATTGCAAAAACCAGTCAAAGAGCCCTCACTAGCAGAAGACAAGCTGCCTAGAGTCCCTTGGAAACCTGTTTGAGTCAGGTGGGAATGACCTACTGGCATTTATTTGTAATTGCCCATCATGGCTGTGGCTGAGGAAGGAAAGGCTGTTGAGTCACACTGCAAGCCACTTTTCCACTTTTGTCTGGTTTCCCAGAGGGCAGAGTGGGACAAGTCTGAAGGTTGAGATTCTGTTTATGTCTCTGACACTCATTTCTCATATGACCTTGGCAAGTACTTCTTCTTATGCCACTATCTCCCCATTTCTTACTAGCTAAAACCACTCAACTCATGGAACAATCATAAGTGCACAGCAAGGAGCATCTAATAAGATGTAAGAGAAGGGTGAAGTATTATAATTGTTGTAGTAGAATACAAAAGCAGTTACGTAATAATGTCAGTATTGCTTCATCTTTGTCCTTACAACACAAACTGTCAGAGGGACACTGTCAAACACAGTATCTTCATCCCAGTGGATGCACCCAAGCATTTACATCACTGATACAAAACCAGATTGTTGTAATCTGGAAGACTCTACCTCGTTTATTTTGACCAGCCTTTCTCTAGAACATGTTTTTCCTGTATAACCTCATAACCCATAATAATGGCCCAAACTGCACTATAGGAATGATGGCAGGTTTCATGTGCTAGTAAAATCAAAACAATTCCTCATTTGTGCATTGCACAACTAGTCACTCACTAAAACACACAAGTGCTTATCTCCTCTGCAAGTAGAGAACAAGCTGAAAGTTAGTTTCTAAATTGGTATGTCATACATACAATGAACACTTTCTAAAAATCTCAATGGCACGTGTCGCCCTGAAAATTAAACCTTCTGATCTTGTTTTCATAGTTTCTACTTTCCCAGGAAAGTAGCTATAAACATAGATGTTTATATATTCTTTCTAAGAAACATCTTTTGATGGATGTTTCGCACAGTGTGATTGGGAAGGTAGTAACCTAACTATCCAATCCCTGGTCATTGTCGAGAATATAAATACTAGAGTTGGAAAAATAAAAGTACTTTTTCCCCTATCATACATTGAACCATGTCCATGTGACTCGTTCCGTGTCCTATAGTAACAGGCATGAAGGAATCAAATTGGCTAAATGACATTCTGCTTGTATGATAACAAGTTTCCCAAAAAAAACCATTGGTAACTACTGTTCACAACTGCTATATAATTAATAACCAAACTTCTCTGCTTCAAGTTCTACGATTTTTCCTAAAATTTACAATTGTTTGCTTAAAAATGGCCAGATTCAAGCAGCATTTGGACTGAAGGCTGAGGAAGGCATGGCTGTAATTACAGCACCTCGAACTGTGCCCTAATCACACTCTTATCTTTCTTATCTACTGCAAGTATTTATAAAGCAATGATTACTGTACTAGGCCCCATCACTGCTCTGAGTTAGTTCTGAACCAGCACCTTCATATTGCCCTAAGAAGTTTACACTGCTTGAACTGGTGTCATTCTGCTGAGACAGAAAGCCAAGTTTCTCATCACTTAAAAGTCATTAAAAAAAATAAACTATGACACCTCTAAAGGAGCAGAGGTGTTAACCCCAATGTCCTGGCCAAACTCCCAGCTCAAGCAATTACAACGTGCCTTGAATAAATTCTTGCCACAGTTTCCGTTGGACTTACCATTGTTCTCTACTTCCGCTCCTACAATATCATGGAGAGGTGGTGCGTGCTCTTAAAGCTCCTGTCCATACTGCAATGTCACATGGGTCTACTCCAGGACCAGCTCTGCAGCAGCACATTGGGAGTAATGTGTTGAAACCAGTTCTGCCTGTCTAGCTGAACCGCTAGGCAATTTGTAATATTTATTTATTGATGTTCTGGCACCTCCTTCAGACAGAATTAACTTTGGGTATAGCTATTTGACAGATAGACTGGTGCAAATCCCAGATGTAGACATATATAAACCTGTTCAGTTCTTTTTTAAGTGGACTAAATTTGCATCAGAAAATTAGCAAATGAAGCTGAACTAACTTTCTAGATGCTTACTATGGTCTTTTGAGAAAGCAACAAGAACATGCCTAATGCGATGAACTAGGAAAGCTAAATGTGCTGTTTAGTTCAGCTGGCGACAATAAACATAATTTTCATGCTGGCTGTTCCTTCAGAATTTCAGTGAACTTTTTCCAAACAGTCTGTTCACAGAATACACTGTATATTTTTGAAGCAGTCACTGAATACATATCAAATGCAGATCTAGCATTTCAAGAAAAATACTTGATAGTTAAGGGTAAAGCATTATTCACATTTTTCTGCAAGAGACTAAGAGACTAAGGATTTTTACCTAGACCTCTAATTATCTTTCATGTGTGTACTACTATGAGCTGAGGCCCAGACTCTCTGCTGGCATTTGCTGGGTTAGCTCCATGGACCTCACTAGCTCTCATAATTCATGAGCTTTACAGGCAATTTGTCTGCAGGAAGAAGTACAAGATCAAGATTCAGAAGAACCTGATTCTCAATTCCACCTTTTGACCCTGTGGGCGGATCACTCTCCCTCACTGCTCCATTTTGTCCTCCTATCTCCAAAAGCAAATGATACCCACTAATTTGACAAAACAAGTACGAAACCAAATTAATATCAATAGGCCACGCTGAGCAGATTCACATTAAACACTATTCTTCCAACATTTGAAAATACAAATGTTTACCTTTCAAATATGCCCTTAATTTCCCCAGAGGGGTGTCTCCCATGTTTCACAAGACAGAAACTGTAGTTTCAGAAAGTGGATGATTTTATTTTTGTGTCATTACAAAAATGCCTTTTAACTTGTCAAATGATACACTACAAATATCTTTGGCAGATGAATGAAACCAAGTTTCCTGTCATAGCTGCCAACTTCAAGGTTGAGATCATCAGATAAACCTTTAGTTTGCCTCTCCCAATACCCACAACAACATATGTTTGAAGTGATCCACATTTGTCTCACTTTTCCTATTGGGATTTGAAAAAGCAAAGTATCAGGCCACTTTGGGACATGTTCACAAAACTCTAGATGTGGTCCACAATTGTCACGGCCAGTAACATTCCTCAGGCGTCCCCCATCCCAGGTTAAACAGTCCCCAGTAGCTCTGCCTGTCTAAAGGTAAATGCAAAGTTTACTTAAATCATATCCAGCATCATCTCAACACCTGCTAGATACAAAGCTTTCTTATGATACAAAATATCTGTTAGATTATGTGGAAAATAAGAAAGTTTGTTTCATCTGTTTTATTTCAGCAGTAGCAATAATACTGGATTTACAAAGTTTTATTATTTCATGATGGGGACATCTCAAAATTTAGTATTTGCAAGGTAATTTATAACAGAGTGCACTGTGCCTTCACTGTAATTCTGAAGTCAAAAGCGGAAGCCACCCCTACAAACACCTTTGACAAACTTTGTGTCTTATGTAACTGTTTCTATTCATTTATTATCAGAATGTCAGTACAAATTGTTATTTTGATGATTCCTTGTCCCCATACTTCTGAAAGGGAAAGCAACTATAAACACAAGGGAGACTGACCTCAGTGATTTCCTCTGTTCAGACCCGAGCACAATGCGCCCAAACACCATGACAAGGAGAAGTGGACTGTTTAGAATTCCTCCAGCTGTAATCTACAGTAAAAACAAATAAACAAACACGTTACTACAAGATGTGATAATTAATCCCTGCATGAATCTAACTGTTATCTCTGCTTCGTAGATGGAGATACCAAAGCACACAAAGGCTCAACAACCTACCAAGTTCAACACCCCACCACTGAGAGCCAAGAGTACAGTTTAGGAGACCATGTGCTCAGCCCATGAGATTTTTTTCCCTTCTTCTGGCCACAACCTAGATACAGCTTGGCCAAGGGCAGGCTGAAATACACCCATTCGGTGAGGGCACTTGCACTAGAGCAGTCACCTACCACCTTCTGGGATTGTCACTGCCTGTAGCTGAGCTGCTCCTGGCCACAGGCAGCTCCACTCGGCTCCATGTCCTCCAGCCAGCCTGCCCCAAACCCACTGTCCCCTGCCACCTATGCCAGGCCTCTCCCCTACCCCTCTTCTCCCTACCCATGTCCAGGCCACATGTACCCCATTGCTGAGGCCCCCATCTCTCTATTCCCCCACACCTTTTCTCAGGCCTGCTGCCTCCCAAAACTGTGGCCGAGCTCAAATGGTCTCAGCAACAGCTCCTCACCATCTTCTCCCTCAGGCCCCTCTCTGCCCTCAGTGTCCCACATGGGGTTTCCACAGAACCTCTTTCCCAAACTCCCCTCAGCACCCCCTCATGCCAGCTCTCTCTTGTTCTCCTGTCCCTCAGCAACCCCTCACCTGTCCCCTAAAACCGCCCCCCATGCCAAAACCCCTCCTGGCAAAACTCGTCACAGCTGGTTACTCTCTCCTCACACCAATGAGCCCTCCCCAAGAGCTCCTCACACCAAAGGTTCCTCCTCATACAAGCCCTCACAGCCGGCTAACCCCCTTCTCACAAGAGCCCACCTGACCAACGACCTCTCCCCACCGATCCCCTCACGCCCAGGACCCCTCAGACCACCGCCCCCTCCCCACGCGGCCCCGCCTGCCCCCGCGCCACCACTGCCCCTCC